TCATGACTATAATATACGCAGGCACCTCTATGATTGTAGCTTGAATATTTCACGTAGAGAATTTATTGCAGAGACTCGGATGAAAAACTTCGGATAATAATAACACCGATTATGAAAATATTCGATGGTTTTTCGGATTTTTGGTTGTTACTACCAGTTCTTGGAGGGGGGATGCTCATTAATGGGTACATTTTTTTTTTTTTTTTTTTTTTAAACCGTGCGCACGTTTGTATGTCCTACGTATTATACCGTCCTACGATATATTATAATAATAAAACGTGACGCGGACCGACGACGTATGTTTGCCCAGGACAACGGCGCCGACAAAATAAAATAATAAATAAAAAATAGGGTTTGCCAGCTCGGACGCGGGACTTAAAAATATTACAACGTTATACTTACCCGGTAAATTTGCGACACGCGTGGTGTATAATATATTTATGTACGTTTGTTTTTTTTTTTTTTTACTACCCCCGAACCCTTTGACGTGCCGCGCGTCCGATTGTTATTCGTTATAATATTATAATGCTCGCGTGATATACACACTGCGTATGTATACATTTATTGTCTATACGGCACACGTTTTCATACGGATCCAGCCGTTGTCGATAAAAGTGTGCGACTTGTAAACACCGAACGAAAGAGTGGCGACGGGTAGTCGGGTTTCACGTTTCCGATACGACGATTACGTCGGCTTACACGCTTCCGGATTTCACGTTTACAGTTTTGAACGCAGGTACGTACTTATGTCTTATTTATTATGAGCAATTTATAGTGCTGCGGGCTGCTGCGAATATAGTGTTTAGAAGAAAAGACGGCACGATACTTGATGTTTGTTAAGAGAGAACAATTGTATTGTTTTCGCCTTTTACAATCTTAAATATTATCGGCGCACAGTAACCTGAGCATGAAACTTAGGTGGCGAAAATAGGACATTAGAAATGTTCAAAATATTAATTTTTTTTTTTTTAGGATCTCATTAACAGATGATTACTAGTGTAAATACAAAATTTTAGATTCATACAATTTTTCGAACTGGAGTTATAGCCAAGTAAACTGGACAAATTTGGTTTTTTCTGTTATTTTGAAAGTAAAAATGCCGACAATTCATTATTTTTTTTTAGCTATTTGAAATTTATAAAATTAAAAAAAATGAAATACCTAATTGATGAGTCACATATTAAGATAATAAAAAAATTGATATTTTTTTTAAAAATTTAAGTCCTTACCGATTATGAATTATAAAACAAATCGAACGTTTTTGTGGTTTTTTTTTTTTTTTTTTCATAGACTGCGGACAAATTTACTTAAGTTTACTCTATATCCGACATATGCATTTTGTAGAGGAAGTTCTCAGCTATAAGAATATATAATTTTTCATAGCGTCTCATTATATCTGCAACGCACACAAATTATGTCATAACAAATGGCGTTTTTCAACATATTTTAAAATTAAACAGTTATTTTAGGTTTTGTTTAAATACTTATAAGAAAACTTTAAAAAATACTTTCAGAAAATGAATTATTGAATGTATCATATTCGTCGTTGTTACTTAAAATTATTAATGTAAAAACGTCATCGGAAAATTGCTCAGTTTTTTTTTTTTGTGAATTTCTCAGCGACAAAATATATGGATCAGTTGAGACTAACAACATATTTAAAAGATCTTCATTAGTGTTTGTAATGAAAGTGTTGTTAAGCCAAAAAAATTAATGAATCATCAGCATTTTTATTTTCAAAAAACCAAATTTGTCTAGATCACTTAGCTATAACTAGTTTATTTCTATAATCTATTAATGAGATCCTAGAAATAAAAAAATTAATTTTCTGACCATTTTTAATGTCTTATTTGTGCCACCTAAATTTCATTCTCAGACACTATGCGGCGATTATACAGTTTTAACGGAAATGATCAATTCAAATACCATGTAAAAATAACAATAGAGCATAATGAAATAGCCAGAGAAGTAGTAAATATAGAATATACAGCCAGGTAATTAATGCAGGAGCGCGTAGAAATCTGTAATATACAAACCTTGAATGTACAATTCTTGAAAATATAAACCTGGCATGTATAAATCTTGAATCCAGGGTTTTACACGGTTATCGAAATTTGTACCGTACAAACCTGGAACGTAAAAGTCTGTAATGTAAAAATTATGGAAAAATAATTTTCTATTACTCCAGTGTTACCAACTATTGGACCAAAAACATAATCGTCCGCGACCAAAAGCCATTGTTTTAAAAATTGTAAGAAAAACTAATACATATTAACCCTACCCTATAATTACGCTTGGAACATTAACTTTTTAGAAATTCTTTTTAGAGAACGATTATCACAATCATTTTTTTTTAAAAACTAAACAATTATTAGATGTTCTTTTTAAGTGCATAGACAAAATTTTCAAAAATGGGATGTTCATATAATTGTGTATAGAAATTCTGATTTTTCTTTTATTCGTAGTTGATGACACTGAATGAGTTGACAATTATTTTTCAAGATTTGAATAAGTTTGTACGGTTCAAATTTCGATAACCGTAAAACCCTGGATTCAAGATTTGTATTTTCCAGGTTTGTATTTTCAAGATTTGTACATTCAACGTATGTACATTCCAGATTTTTACAGGTACTCATTAATGCTACTATATGGCCTTTCAAAAGTATCATTATCTAGGGAATTAAAAAAAAAAAGCAATTATATATTAATTTGATCCGTCCGGAGCGGAAACATGTCCACTAAGAAAATTAGACAAGAAAAAGTTTTTAGAATTGGAAAGGACAAAGAGAAGGAGAATTATAATTATAATTATAATTACATAAGTATTAGTTTACCGAGTTCCGCCTATTTATCAGTTTTTTGATTGCAATAATAACTTTGATACGATGTTTAATTTCAGTGTATAAACTAAATTACGTACCCTATATCATCCAAAAATCTTTCCGGAATTCCTATTGTTATTTTTTTATTATTTTATTAAATATTTTAATTATGGGATTTTTCTATAGAAAAAAAGAAAAATCGGTCTACTTGAACGATTCAATTTAAATACGTTTAAAAAAAATGTGTTTTCTAGTATTATAATATCCATTACATATTTACGTATTATATCCTTTGTACAAACGACGAACAGTGAAGTCATCAACAAATCGTGCCTATTATTATATTTATAAGTATTAACAATTTTTTTCTTAAAAAAAAAACCGTGTACCCGCCCCGCCTATGATGTATAATCCATTTAAAAGTATAATACTTAATATATAATAATATACTCGTGTATTATATTCCAATTTATTGTAACATGCATCGCCGTACAAAAGATTCTTTTCATATGATACCTATATAATATTGTGTACGCGGTGTAACGTAGAAGCATAATGAAATGTAATGAGATAAAAAAAAAAAAAAAATACCAGAAAAAAAGAACAGGTCAAAACGATCCTTAAAAAATGCATTTTTGTTGTCATTCGCCGCGACAACAAAAGGAGGTGTATGTTTTTTCTTCTGCAGCATAAGGTAGACCTACGCTATAAGAAGATTAGTGAATGATGTGCGCTCCAGGCGAACCCGAGAGTATATTGAAATGACGTGCGGCCTTTGACATTGTTGAGCCTAATCCGATTTTTTCGTAAACACATATCACGGTACTTATCTGTACCCGTGTCAAGAACCGTGTCTTATTATATAAAATATAAATAATAATAATAAAAGAAAAACTGTCTCCGAGACGGTTCACACGCCTCCGCCGCCGGTGCTTCTTTAAATCTTTAAATTCGTGTTATAGTATACATATATTTCGTTATGAATTATATGTATGGCGAAGACAATTATTGTTATAATTCACGAGAGTAGGTGTACAGCATTTTATGTATAGGTGGTATTGGGTTTAGATTATATATTATCACATTCTCGTCGTCGGTACACCTATATGATATTTACTAGAGTGTTGTACGTCTATGGATTATATTTGATCGAGACATTGGAAAATGGTCATCGGGCATGTCCCGAGACACCCCAGAAAAGCTACGTAATATAATATTGCTTAATATTGCTGAGGACACGGTGGCGTGGAAAAAAACTGCATGGTTACTTCGTAGCTCTTATACGCAATAGTATTAGGACAAATTAAAAACGATGCTGTAATAACCAAAAAAAAAATTAAATAATTAAATGAGAAAAGCGATCGATCGATTAGAATGGATAATATAGACAATTATAGACCAACTTACCGGTGGGAGGGGGGTTCACTAAGAAACAGTAATGCGCCACAGTAGTAACAAAAATCGATTTAAAATGTTAGCATTTCCTATAGACACGGTAAAATTAAATTTCTAAAATTGTTTTCGCATTAATTACATTATAGATTATCTATTAGTTAGTTATATTATAACTATTTGAATTTTTCCGGTTTTTAAGTTTGTTATCATTGGTTTCATTTATATTAATTTTGGACTTACTGATTTTAATTCTTTGATGTAATTCTCAAAGTCTCAAGTCGTTTTTGATGCTTATATAATACACTAGCTGTTACTTCGTCTAACTTTTAAAATGCCTTCTCTACGGTTCCCCTAAAATTACCATCTGAACGTGTTGAATGTTCATAATTTATTTTAAATCAACAGTTGACAGTTTGGTACATACCACTGCAATAATCATACGAATATACACTCACTCGTATATACAGTGGCGATCACTTATTTTTTAGAAAAATTTAACCCCTCCTCTCCCCTAAAATACGCTACTGCGTACATAGAATTGATATAAACTATATCGATGTTCATTCGGTTGAAAGGCATAAGTAGGAGCGTATACACACGAGGAATAGAGAAACCTAGAAGAAGATAGATTAAAAAAAAAACATTTTTGACTAGTGATCCTTCTCCCCCCCCCCGATACAAAAGTTTCGTATACGCTACTGATTTTTAATAAATGAGTATTTTTATTATCGAAACAACTAATTGTTTTCTATTATTCGATAAAATCTATAGAAAACCAATTATTTAGTTTGGTTTTGAGTCAATATTCGACAAACGATCGTTTATTACCGATTTCTTTTTACTTCTCCGAATGCCAATTTTGACCGATGGCTTGACTGTCGGCTTTACAAAGTTGATTGGTGATTCCGAGGCTCCAATTTTTTCTTTTATTTGCGGCATTTGAATTATACTTGGCTTGAATACGGTCGATGCTTTAGTCTGCGGGTTCAATTTATTTACTAAAATAACGAATAATAACATGTAATAATATAATATTAGGTTAGTTAATATTTTACACATTTCTGATGATCTCGTCTCAAATTAATATTATATAAATATATATACAGTATATTATTTTTTGATAAAAATAAATTAATACATAATATTATAACTAGCAAAATAATACAATTTGTTTAGACATTGATAACTGATAACTATTCTAGTAAAAACTCAAGTTAAAACTTTTGACTGTACCCCGAGAAATTCTAGATGAAAATGCAGTGACATAGCCGTAAGAGTGGTAAGCAGGTTACAACCCATCTCCTCCGAAATGTCACCGGAAACTACTTTTTAATTGTTTAAATGTGTTTATGTATTTAAGTTTATAGATAATTGGATAAAATTTTATTGCACCGATAATACATAATACATAATAATTGGTGTAAGATTTTTCGACATTGTTGATAGTTTATGGAAAATTCACTTTGAAAAAAAAAAAAATTAATATCGAGAGGATTAAGTATTAAACCCACCCCCTCTCCCGAACGTTTTTTCCCGGCTACGCCACAAGAAGAGTGTTCATACTATGTAAAATATATAACGATAATTTAGTAATCGAATTCAAAACGTCGCGTATACTTTTTGCAGTCGGCCTTGCTGTTTTGATTATATTTTCATCCGGAGAGTCTTCGACGAATATCGCTTGACGTAACCGTTCGGTTAGTTCACTCTTGGCATCGTTCCTGGCGACATTCTTGTCCATTTTTCACGTTCTTATATTATATGCATTTTTTTTTAACAAGGAAACGTATTGATTAGTCGTTGATATAAAGTATAATAATATTGTGTGTTTGGCGGACGGAATATATCGGCGTTTTAAACATGTTATGTCGACACGTCGCGGACAACTATTATACCGGTGTATATTAAATCGATAATAACATTATATATGTCATATATAGATAGAGAGAGAGTGTGAGAAAGTGAGGAGGGACCGGACAAACAATTATAATTTCGATACATTTATTCACCGAACCTCGCGTATTATTATATTATACACGTCCGATATTGGAAGGCAACGAATTTCGTAAACAGTTTTTCGCCGCCGCCGACATTATACGTTATTATAATAATAATAGGTAGTACGTATATTGGAAGAACGGGACTTTGCGGTGAACACCACCACCACCACCACCACCATCGACAGGAGAAGTGTTGTCGGGGAGGGGGGGGGGGTGAAAAAGGAGAGCGATTACGTCGGGAATATATTAGAATATCGTATAGATAGGTATACAAATGTATAATATAGAAACGACGAAAACCACAAACACAAATTATTATTATTCTCTACAGTTGTACTGAGATAGGAAGAGGCGGAAAAAAAAAACCATTACGTCCTTCGAGAGATTGTAATAATAACCTAACCTCTCTTTCAATGCGCGCGCGGACGACGACGACGGCGTAAAAAAACAATAAACGACACATTGTCACGTCACGCTCCAGCAAAGGTCATAAACTATGCGGTTTCGATCCTGGGAGGTTTTCGACTTATTCGTATATACTCGCATTTGTAATATTATTGTGTGCGCGGAACGTACCCACATAGACGTACTTTACAATATGACTTGTCAGCAGCACTATATTATACTATGGTTGTTATATTATGCGACGCAGACCACAAAAATTGAAATAAATAATACGGCGTACCTATGTGCGCGCACTCGCGTGTCCGACGGCCGGGTATATACTCATTGTTATTTCGTATTTTTTTTTTTTCGTTTCGTAGGTATATAATATAATATAATTACATTTTTTTTTTATTATTATTATTATTCACTCAGTGCTCGGATCGGGAGAAAAATACGAGGACGGACGAAGCCGCCGGTTTTAGTTTGAAATTCGGGTTTCATAGTAATTTTTCATATAGTAACTGATACAACAATCAATATTCATATAGAGACCGTTTGGGGACGTCCCAGACCCAATAGAGATCCCTGATCAGAGATGTGCAAAAGCCTAATTAAAATTTAAGATAACAACAATAATTCGAATAATTAGTTGTGCTTTCTGTGTGAAAACGGTCTTGGGTCAATTAATTTACACAGTACCCTAAAATCTATGAAAAATAAAAGAGGATTCCGTCCTCGTGCGCGTTCGCCTCTCCATTCCGAGCACCGATTACAATACAGATATAGATAAATACTTACGGGAGGGTGTATATTTTGTTTTAACTACTCGATATTTCGACGTCTAATTTCGGCACGGTATACACGTGTGTCAGCCGACGACGGCAATTCCGTTGATTTCTCGCAATTTTTTTCGAGACGACAATATTATGTTGATCACAAAATGGTATGTTTTTAAAAAATCAAATAGAACGTGTAAATATAATTGAAATCTTTGACTTTTTTTATATTTCAATGTTTAAATTACCAATATAATAATATAACCATAGGTACCGAATTTGTTTGCGGACACGCGTATACTGTTTATTGAATCGGCCACTACTATAATGATAAATTATTATAAATTTATAATAACCTACAATAAAATCGTACTATAATTTCCGCCTGCGACGCCATCACAAATTATTATTATTAAACATATTACCGACAGAAACTCGGCGTGTTAAGCACGCGACGGTTGTTTTACTGCTAATAGATTGTCCGCGGGTAGCTGGAGGGCTGAGGTACCATTATGACTGCTTTAATGGTTAAAAATTACGTCACTGCTCTTTCCGTTATGTAACCGTGTGTTAGATTTTGAGCACGTGCTATTTTCCGTGCTCGATTCCTTGTCGGTTTGCACGTGGACCGGAAAATCGGAGAATAACATCTTGTCACGTTGTCTTAATTTTCCGTGTCGATGATTTAATATTTTTATCTGTGCACAAATCGAGCCGGATATAGAATAACGTTCAACGTGTGATGAAAAAACTTGACAAAGGGGTCGTCGTAACGGCCGTGAGCCATCACAGTTCTCTACGGGACCAAGCAGGAAACCGACCAAGCGAAACAAGTATCAATTATACCGGAATTTATCAAAGTTTTGACGTATAAAGGGAAGGCTAGGTAGGATGATTATCCCGAGCGGATTTCTTTTCGAAAGGGGGACATTTTCAAAAACATTTAAACGCAAACATCATTAAAATTCGTTCTCTCGCCTTTTAATTCTGGTTGATAATATCATTGCTACTACTATTATTTAAATTTCAATCTCATCAATATACTTTGACTGAACAATAAAACCCGAAAACTATTTAATCGTACGATTATACCCACCAAGACATCTGGTAGATTATAATATATGAACGTAAGCATTGTGTAAAAAGTAACGTTGTTTTTAAATTTTGTTTTTTTTTTTTGTCAAAAATCTATATTCTATTGTATGGTGTGCCAATACAAAATACTTACGATCTAGACGCATGAATACGTCTATGTGCCTAATGTTTTAGACTATAGCAGTGGTGTTCCCATTCGTTTTTTTTTTCTTTGATAGTATACCAAGTCGTCAAATACGAGAAAGTACAAATATTTTTCTCGTGGTTTAGTGGGGCGAAGGACGTGTCAATAATAATATCGAGAGTTAAAATTGCCAATCGATTGAGGCTTGAGAGTGTACGCACGCACGTATACCCGTAATATTTAAAAGACAAATCTTGAGAGTATACGGTGTACACGTAGTTTTGTCCTACGGGAACACCCCTGACTATAGGCACCAAGAGGATTTCAGTGTTTTACTGCCATTTTCGTGTACCCTTCAATAATATTATAATTTATATTTGCGTCGGTATTATATATATATATATTATTCCGCGTGACATAATAATATATTTCGTAATAATGTGTTATCCGTTACAGGACGAAACGACGCGTATAATAGGCGGCTGAACGCGGTCAACAATTAATATACCGTACGGGGAAATATTGACAAATTACAGACTCAACACGTGTGCCGCGTCGATGGTCGTTGAAATAAATGACCGTCCACGGGGTCATTTATATTATCGAATATCGCGTGATACCGTTTACACGAAAACACGCGGAAACGATCCTATACTTATATAGCTCGTGCCAAACTCGGCTTCCGGCATGGGTACCTTTTAAAACGTTCAAGTGGTGTTTTAAAACTACGACTTAGTGTTGTAATATAATATATTTTACGGCATCTGGAGAATATTCGGTTTCGGCGACTATGAACCAGTCTAAACGTTCTATCTAAACGTCTAAACCCATTTAGTGTTTAAACTGTTTATTTTAAAAACTGTGTATAATATAATATATACGTATATAGGTACTTGGGTAATGAAATTTTCGAATATTTTTACCCTTTATCGTATATACTGCGATGTTATACGCGAGTTTGTTATCACGATTTATCGTTGTTGTTTTTACGACGTTCGTCCCACACGGTATACTGCAGGATGATCAACCCTCGATAATACTCTCATTATCTGGGAAGGTATTCGTTTTTATGAACAACTCAAGAAACAAACACGTATAAAATATTACATTATTGTTATTTTTCGTCGCTTTTTATTTTCAGGGGCACCCAATTTTGATTTTCAAATAGCAACCATTATTAAAATTCCCGTGAATAGATGGAGTTTTAATCTAAACACGTAAAATATTTAAGGTGTTGATATTTTTAATTTCCGTCTACAGTGGGTATAGAGGTGCATCCGAGCTTCATGCGTGTGTGCGGTTGCGATGCGTGGCTTTTGAATAGCGCTATACTATACTCTCGCCTACCCAAGTTTAAAATAGGAATATCTCGTCAACGAGTTGTTGGAAGTTATTTGATTCTTGAAGGTAATGCAACACTTTAAAAATGCTTGTTTTAAAAATTATTCAAAAAAAAAAAAAAAAAATGATTACTTTCCCTGTACGGACCATCATTACACAAACCGAGTACATATAAGGTATGGGTTTCACAAATTAAAATAGCGTTCGTATGGGCGTACTGGGCTTGAAAATATAGGCTCATGCAGAGTTCTGGTGTATACATTACTAGCTGTCCCGTGCTCGGCGTTGCCGATTTACCGAACGTTGCAAATTTGTATTATTATTATTTTACCATTATTAATTTTTGGTTTTGGCCGTGTCAAAACTTAATGGAAAAATATAGGTAAAAAGTGAGTAGTCTAAATGTGCTCTGTTGTGAAATTTTAATAGTGTAAATAATAGTACTAATAATAATTGTAATAGTTTTCTTTTCCGTAACACCAAGGTAACCCTTGAATAAATCAAAGTAAATAAATAAGCAATTAGATATTTGTACTAAATATACCTAAAACATCGTATTTTACCCCCTTTGGGGTTGAATTTTCAAAAATCTTTTCTTATTGTACGGTAAAAGCATTAGAGGAACCACTACTATTCCGGATTTCAAATGCGTACCGTTGAGTAGTTTTTGATGTACAGCGATCAGAGAGTCAGCTAGTGATATTTGGATTTTATATATATATATAGATTACATATATGATTACGAATTGAAACGCAAAAATTTTCCGACGTATTCAATACCCATGCAACGAATATAATAATAATATGTCCAGATGTAAGAATACGACTAGAATAGTGTATCATTGAAATGGATATTACATTAAACAAAATAGTCACAAAATTGGCACAAAATAATGACAAAATTTCAACAACCGTCATAAATTATACTTGTGGATAATACGCGCGTGACCTGTTCTAGCATTCCCTGTACTATATAGATATTAAATTAAATTTATTTTTAAAAATGCAAACCGGCATG